GGGGGTTACAGTATTCTCCGAGAAAAGTTTCAGGCCACAGGTTCAGTATTTTTAAGGACACTTAAAAAGCAAGGACACTTGCTTCCTAAACTTCAATTTTCAATAATTGGATCCCTAAAAATCGTAAGTGATTTTGTCAAGTGATGTAAGCACTTAGGCCTTCCCACCTATCTTCATTGTAAAGGACAAACTCTCATTTGGAAAACATGGGAATTTCATGACCTAAAACACCTCCCTGTGGTATCTGAATTATCTAGTATATAAATATCTTACAACAACTATAAAATGAAACTCACCGATCCGCAAAAGCTTTCCTGTCCACGATACCTGATAAGGTTTTTCGAGAGTTCATCTTCTGCTTCATTTCTGACAGGGTCTGAAAGAAAATGAAAACCAATTAATTTTCAAGTGAAGAATACTTAACAGAATCTGTAACGCGAACTGGACGGAATATCCTTCTTAAAAACCAATTGTTATCCTAGCAAAAAATATCCATGAAATATTTGCTAAACACTAAAAAAATATATATGTTTATATCTGAAGACTAATACCTAGAGATGAGTCATCTTTTTCCGTCATTACCAGGATTTTTTTTATTTACTCATACCGAGATAATATTGATCAATTCTGTTCATAAAAGTCTAATTATCTGCCAAACGATAAGTTTGATCAAAATGGTCGATTTGACTTGCATTGATTTTGGCTTTTATTACAAGCAAAATGTTTGAATTCTCTAACACTGATGTTTGAAAGTGACACTAATTTCCCTCTTAGGTATTGATCTTCGGTATTTTCAGTAAATTTAAAGTGCCCTGCATAGAATTTTGATGAGAAAATATGTCTTACGATGTTTAGATTCTTGACTGTCTGTTAGTCCGTTCAAACTTCCTTCTCACAAAATAAAAATAAAATAAAAATAAAAATCAATACAGGTCAAATCGGCCACTGAAAACATACTCATCATTTAGTGAAAAAATGGAATAAAATTGCCTCCTCTCCCTTTAATGAGCAGTGCTTGTAATCTTGCTGATAAGAATTCAAAGCACTGAGGAAACTTGTCCATCGAGAAGTAGACTTTTTTCAGACAAGCTGAAACTTTGGATTTGCAAGCAAGAAAAACACTAATTTCTACTTTGAGAATTCATTTTAAAAACCTTAGATCGATTCAATATGTCATAGGAAAAATTTTGATAAGAGCGAAGATCCATCGGTTTTGAGCATCGGTTGATGCTTTGTTTCTAACCTAGCCTTGCAGTCCACTGATTGACATAAAAATTAAAAAATAGTGAATCGTTATTTGCTGGGCAGAGGTATCATAAAAAAAACATGCAAGTAAAGTTTCAAGACAAAAATTCAGTAGAAGCTTAGTCAAAGGTAAATTTCTGATACACCTGTCCACAAAGAAATCAAAAATGAAAAAACTTCAACACACCGCACTTTAATTAAGGTTAAAACTGATGTCAACAACTGGGAGCTCGGTTAAAAATGAAAAACTCTGAAGTTGATTGAATCTGATGGAGCCAAGCAAAATTAATAGGTAAGGATGGCTCATTAAAGTTTTGTTTGAACTCGCCGGAGGAATTAATTTTACACCCCACACATGCTCACTTGTACATCTCAGCAAAAATTAATATCAGCAGAACTGCGTTAAGTTGGGATTTAATTTTAGATCTTGAACACTCGGATGACATCACTCCCCAACACCTCCTCCATCCTCCCTCCATGATGATCATGTCTTCCCTTCACAGAGCTTGCTTCTCTAGATTTAGACAGATCCATCAATAGAATATTGCCACTCAGGGCATTGAATAAAACCAACAACTTTTTCATTGAAACTGTGATACTTTAGGGCAGAAATGCATAAACGTTTTCAGTATAATTTTTACAATGCTTAGATATATTACAGCAAAATTTTGTGATTGTGTGCACCTCCTTGATAATGATAGTGTATTAGCTACTTTGTTTGATAAATTAAAGTTGATAAGTTATTCAATTCCTGAGTTTTAATGTTCATTTCCTGCTTTGTACTATTTTAGTGAAAAGATTAAAAAGATGGGAGACTTTTAAGCTCCCGTCAAGATTGATTTTGGAAGTCTGTGTTGTAGAGTTATGGTTCTGTAAAGTGTGAATGAAGAGTAAAAGGAGGCATGACAAAACAACGTAACTGAACTTGAAATGAATCACACTTGATTTTCTTAAAACAAAAAATAGAGCATTCTAAAATTCCTGGTCTTCTAGATAATCTGCATTGTCTAATGTTACTTTGTTTCTTAGTACCTTGGTACGGACCGATACAAGGCATATAGTTCTTGTAGTAGTTATGATATTTTTAAATAAAATTTGTTTCAATTACAAAAAAATTATTCTTCCCGGTCAAGTTTTTGAAGATCGATTTTTAGTTTTGTTTTAAGCAGATATATATCCTCCAAGGTGTTGAATCTTTTGTTTTGTTTCAAGATTATTGTATTGATATTTTACTTTTGTTTTCTTTGATTTTAAAATTTTAAGCGCTTAAAAGTAATTTCCTTGCGGTAGCATTTAATTTTATTTAATTAATTTTAAGCAAAATGTTCTTTTTTTTATCTTGTTTGACTCCTCATTCACATGCACTTTTTTGTTTTATTTTTGATGAAGTTTTTTTATTTGTATGTCTATTTCCTTTATCATTATTTATGAGGCAGAAATTCTTAGTTTAAAAAGAGAAATATCAAACAAAAAACAAAGGAAAAAGAAGAAAAAGAAAGAGATTTAGGGAGTAAACATTTTTGTATCCTCTACTTACTCTGTTGATTTCACTCCATAAATAATCTTTTGAACTGAAAACTCTTTACGAGAAAGCAATCTATTCGCACCTTAATTTAGGAGGATTTTAATTACTTACTCCAAAAAGTACATAACTCAAAACTGCACCAATTTAAATTGGAAAGTCACAACTAAACATCCTTAGACACTGAGAAGTCCTTTGAATCGTTTCCCTCTTAGGGAAAAAGTACAGAAAAACTTACTGTACTACTCAGAAAATTATGAACTGTTCATTATAAAACACTAACGTTAACACTAACAGTAGACTGAAATATATGAAAAAAAAATGGGATAATAGAGTTAAATATTGGAAAGAATCAATTGTCAGTAAATAATAAAAAATACAGACTTTCTAGGGAATGCTTTGTGAAAATTATTACTATGTGTTAAAGATAAAAATGCACAGCTTAAACAAAGAATTGAGCCAGACATGACTTCAAGAGTGGAAGGACAAAAAATTTAAAAAAAAAAAAAAACAAAAACATAAAGCAGATGACTAAAATACGAACGACCAGAGGGGAGACAGGTGGTGAGGGAGGGGGAGGGATGAGTGGCTGGGGTTAGGATGGGATGAGGGAGGGGGAGAGGATCATGATAGGGGAGATCTGTCGGCTCTAAGATGGAGTAATTTTAGATTTGAGCAGAGAAAAAAAAGAGGTGAGCTGGACACAAAAAAGGGGGGGAAAGAGAAAGAAAGAACCATTCCATATAAACAGCATTCACTCTATTAACATCAATAAGCATACTAAAATTAGCAAGTCTCAGCTGGAGAGCCACAAGCCATGCATCACCAGACAAGCTGGATTGTTTCTTTTTGATTTGTTATCTTGTTGAGAAGGCAGGAAGAATTAACTTGGACAAATAACTTGATTTCCGGCCAGAAGTTAGCTTTATCAATTGTTTCAGGCGCCATAGATTTTTGAAAAACTATAGAGGAATACGCGCAGAGTTGCTAGGTTGTGCAATGATATGAGATTATTTTACATGGGTTTAAATATGGAAAAAGCCGGTTTATACCACTGTTGGGCAACAATGAAAGAGGATCTCCACTTTGTGAGACAAAGCTAAGACACAAAGAACATGAAGAATGATAAGGACGTTAGTTAAAAAATAGGACAAGAAGAGGAAGAATAATACCAATAAAAATTAGAGGACTGAGAAAAATAATAAGAGGAAGAAGTAAAAGAACAGGAAGGATAAGAAAGAGATAAAGAAGAATGAGACAAAGAAAAAGAAGAGAGGAGGAATTAGGAAAGAAAAGGAAGGATAAAAAAAGAAAAATAAGAATGAGATAAAGAAAAAGAAGAAAAAGATAAATAAAAAAAAGAATAAGATAAAGAAAAGGAAAAAGAAAAATATAGAAAGAACGAAGGAAAAGAAAGGGAAGGAGAAGGAGAATGCTAAAGAAGAGAGGAGTTATAAGAAGGAGAAGAAAGAAGAAATGAAATAGAATGATGAGGGAGAGGAGGCAGATGAAGAAGATGAAGAAGAAAAAGAAAAGGCCAAGGAGGACAAGAAAGAATAAAAAAGGAAGATATAGAGGAGGAAGAAAAACAATAAATAAAAGAAGAGGAAGGTAGAGAGAAAAAAAGGAAAAGAAGATGACAAGGAGAGGAGGAATAAAAATAAGAAGCATTCAAAAAAGAAAGGTTAAAAGAATTGGTGACAAAAGGAAAATAAAATAAAGCATAGCAAAATCAATGGTAATAATAAAACAAAACATAATAAAAATAATAATAAATAAGCAGAAAGAGTAGAATAAATACAATAATAAAACGCATTTAAAAGAGTAATACCAAAAAGTATAATATAAATTTATAGTATTTATTATACGTAGTATAGAAATCTATAATAATGCAAATAAGAATGGAGGGAAAAGGAGTGAGAAGAGGAATCAAAGAAAGATGAATGAAAAGAAGAATAACAAGAATGAAAAGAGAGAAAGCCTCTCAGAATAAGATAAGCGGACAAGAAAGAAATTTTGAATTTTCTTAAATCATGGGATACCTATTTTTGGAATGTCTGTAAGGATAAGAAGTTTATTGATTTTCAAAATTACTTTTTCCCTTTTTCAGCAATCCCTCCTGAGGAGCCACTGATAAAATTGCGATAATCTACCAATCAAATTACACTTCATTGCAAGCATGTCTGCTTGGGAAGTGACAACTACTATTAATACATTGATATTCATACCTAGAAACGGGAGGCGACCTTTTGTTGAGAGGATACTTGATGCAGGAACTAATAAACCATGCTTTGGCTTGCAATCAAATAGTTTTCGGCCACGCCACTTTCCATCAATTCCTCCGTATGGTAATGATTCATCCTGAAAAGAAAATATACAAAACATTGCAAGTTAGCAGTGTTCAAGGGGTATACTGCAGGAGGGAGGGAAAAAACCACTATATTGCATAGAACCAACATCGCAATTTTCAAAAGAACTGAATTCGATTTGACTAGCGCTCAATGATAGCAACAAGTTGCGATTCAATCGATAAATAATTGTTGGTTGTGGGCTGCAACTTACTGCAATATGATTCATAAAAAATGTAGCTTCACTGCGATGAAAAAGCTGATTTTCCAATGACAATTTCAAGAGACATTATCAGTGAAAAAACTGCGACTAAGTTGGGCGAGATCACACAAATGTTAATGATCCTGCAAACTGTCTCTGTGAAATGGCGATGAAATCGCAAATTTCAATAATATATATTTGTATGATATGTTACAGTGGCAGTTTGCAAGGAAGGATTATATAGTTAGAAATGATTATTCATTGCAAAGGAGTTTCTGATGAATGGAAATATGTAAAAAAATAGAGTATTCATGCAACGAGGAGCTGTAATATCAAAAAACTGAAAAATCAACATATTGGAACAGCTGCTTAGAGGAAAAATTTGCAATACCTACATAATTTTAATTATTTAAAACAATAATAATCAAAAAATTGCACAAAAATGCGAAGAAAAACTGAGGCAATGTTTTGGCAATCATGATCACAAGATTGCGTAATAACTGCACCCCTGAAATAACTGGCTCTGTACTCTGATTTCCAAGTGCTTGAGACAGTCAGTATCCACAACTTCTGCATGCATCAGAACAAGGTAAATTATTTGCATGCAAATCTGTGAATTTACTCTTCATCAGCACCTCGGTTACTCTTGACTACCCTGATTTCTGTCAAGGACTGGTCTTGTCAGTTGTGAGTTCATTAATTGCTGGATTTTTCTGGAATGAGACCTTCTCTTTTACATGAAATTATTGGTACTTTTATCATCTGTAATTTTGCATCAGGCAGTCAAATCGAAGATATCGACAATGCACAGGAAATTTACATCAGAGCATGAAAAAAAAACCAACCGTATTGAGAAAAAAATTCAGCATTTCTTGATGACCATCTTCCATTTGTCCGTTCTCGGACAAATGGAATTTCACTTGATATTACAGCTAGTCATGGAATAAAACCATAATTTACAAACTCATACTCCAATGTATTTTTTATTCCAGAGAGGCATCAACAACTGGAAAAAAGATTATTACAATATAACCCTATACCTACCTACTTGCACTCAGTATCTCTTTTCCAGAAAAATCATTATGATTTTTCTAGAATGTTGTTCCTGCATAAATATTGTGTTTTCTCTTTTTCTCCTCACTGCATTAATAAACAACTGACAGTGTACGAGCAAAATGACCTTGTTGACAAAACTCAAAATCACATTCCTATATCAGATAATCAAGGAATGTCCTAAAAACACGTTGGGCCTAAAAACATCAAATATTTGGAAACCAAATTGGAGTCCTGACGGTTTGAAGTTTGCAGTTCAGAAACGGTAGATTCAAGAAAAGGCTACTTATTTTACACTACATATAATTTTCCACATTTAGGGCACATAATGGATCATTCTGCAATTGTACCCGCTCTGTGGGCATAAATATGAATTAAAACTGCCCGTAACTTCATATTCGAGAGACTAGGGAGAGTTTTTCATCAAAGGCATAGAATCTAATTTTCTAGACTTGGCAAAAACCGTTCTGATGACAATTTTGTTGCAATGCACACATCCACTGCTTCAGTCACCCAAAAACTGTCAGTCTTACTTGATTGGTAATTTGTATTTTGGCTAAACTACCAAGTTAAACTTGATCCCTTTATCTGCAACCATCCAGTTTCTCACCCACATTTTATAAGTTCAAATAAAGTTCGGTTTCCAGTTATTCTACTGTAAAGGAAAATGACCTTCTGACTGATTTCATTTTCCTGCAAACATTTTATGAGTTCATGGATTTGAGTTGCTTAATTTTGACGGACAGGAAAAATTGAAGTATCTGTTCCCTTTTTTCTACGATCCAAATTCTAATTATTCTGTGGAAAAGTTCATCTTATACACAGGGCATGGAAATTATGCAACTCTAAAAAACTTTGACCTAGGAGTCAGAAATGACGTACGATTACTTAACTAAGGAGGCAACTATGCAGATAATTTTTTTCCGCACTCACCAGCTCCAATCCTAGTGTCCAGTCATTGCCAGAAATTTCTGCCAGCCTTCCTATCCACAAAACTTTCCCTGATTTTGGCTCTCCACTTCCGCTACCAAGCCAAAGAACCTTTTCTCCGATTAACACTGGTAATGGCACTTGATTCTCGAACATCCTGTCACTGTAACAGAACAATAAATAAGAAAAATTAAAGATGTGTCATTGTTGGTCACTAGACATTTTTCTGAGTGACTGCTAAAGAAAATAAAGTAATAAAAATAAAATACCTGATAAAATTACCAATCCCTGTTGGGAGGAGAAAGCCAAAAAATAACAAAATTACCGTACTGATACAATAAATATCAGCTTCTTGATATCAGTTTAAACTTATTGAGTGACAAGACTTGATGGGTTTACTTAAACTGCTGCTTCCCACAAATGTAAAAAATTATTTGTAACAAAAAATTGCAGAACTCAAAAAGTAAAAACAGGATTCGGCTACACAGAAAGTTTCACCTCCGATGCAGGGACTGATAGCGGAGGTTGACCCCCGGAATACGTCGAGATGCCACTTACGTAGGGATGCCGTATGCCCAAGTAGCAGGATCTGCCAGCATACGTTGGTAGCTGAAGTTCTAGGTATGCTGGCATACCTCGCCGCGAAGGATCCCAGGATACGAGGGTGGACGGCTACATTGATATGCTGAGATGCTAATATCCCCTAGGTATCGGCTACTAGCCGGCTATTGAATGCACCGAGGTTGGCCGCCGCAGTTCGCAGAACTTCCATTGAAGCGCTCGCATTGAGGGTATTGTCTCCATTGTCCGTCGCACAGGATTTCCAGGGTGAACGTCGGGCCGAATTTTGACGTAACCAGCTCTCGAGGGCTGCTACAGGATCCAACTACTATGCGGTTGCCGAGATCTATTGGGTCACCGTCTAGCCGGCTACCTGAGTATCTCCGGATCCATATGCTGAAAATGATATTCTGAGGATCGAAGCCTTTGACCTACCAGCATAGCATACTATGCGCATGCCCCGAGATCCAGGAGCCTTGAGCATAGCTCAGTAGCCGGGATCCCGTATCCGGGCTAGATACTTGCGGCCAGGTAGCCGCTACCAGTCCCTGCTCCGATGTATCCAAGCATCAGTTGCTCGCATCTAGTACTAATCATTTTTTTAAACCAAATTCCACTTTCTGTGTAGGTATTGCAATTTTTTTCTCTACAAATTTCATGTACAGGGGTCAATATTTTGACATGCTAGAGAAGAGCGCCGTAAGCCTTCAGATGTTGCCATATTTTCTTCTGTAAAAAACGAATTTGCAGAAAAAATTGTGAGTATTTTACTTCAAAATTTTCAGAAGATTTTGTTTGCAATTTAATCTAAGATATCTGAAAATTTCAAGAAACAATATGCATAACTTTCCTTAAAAATTCATGTTTTATCTGGGGAAATTTGGCGACTCTCAAATGTTCTTACGGCATTTTCATAAACGCATAATACAATCCAGACCGCACATTACAATATTTCGGCGAGACGATGGGAAATGCGGCTTGCATGTAGTGCTATCCAGCCATCACTTGGCAATGGTTCAGCCATACTGCCAGCAGCCTTGACAGCTAGTGAATTTCTGTGAATGCAAACTGCCCATCGGGAAAAAAGGAACGCGGCCGCAATCCTTCAATTAGGTCATAGGTCACTACATGTATACCAGGCTGTATCAACTCAGGTGAAGACATGTCTTCACCCCCTAGCTGTCTCGCCTCTCCTGCCTAATGTTGAGCTTAGTGCGCAGTCTAGATTGAGTTATGAGTCTATGAGCAATAATCCGTAGCGCAGCAGTATTGATACGTCGGCTTGGGAGCCATAATTTGCCAAAATTTTTAACCTAGGTGATGAAATATTGGCACACCTGTTTGAATAACCTACCGTAACTATTGCATTCACTCCTTGCTTCAATTTTCTGTTGCCTCTAAAAAGCTGGATGCAACCAGAGTTTGTTGGACTGGCCTAAGGGGCGACAGGCACCTTACCAACTATAACTAAACACCACGGCTAGACCTCTAAGTACAGTTCTCCTTCTTTGTAGAACACGTTGTCACTGTAACGTTTGCACATTGTTTTGACATTTGATCAACCTAGAAACACCAACAAAAACAAAATCAATGATTGACTGCAGACGCTACCTCAGTTTTCAATTTTCCTAGATAATAGTAATGAGATCCGAGTAATTAGGTTCCAGCTGTTCCATAATAAAGCACACACTCGATAAAAAAATTGCGCCTGAGGATTTTTTCCAGATACGTCTCCTGGATCACGCCAGTGGAACGCAATAAAAAAGTGATGCGTTCCATTGCGGTCCACTGTGGTTTGGATAAAAAAAAGCCCTTAATATATCCTTTTTTGATTTTTGTCGTGCCGACATAAATTTTAACAATCAGGCTGCTGGAGAGTGTTGACTAACAATATTATTCACAGGAATATTTCCTCAGTTTCCATCTTCAACGCCCAAGTTCCTTGATGTATTTGATTTTTTGTTAGCAGAGCATATGAAGTGATCATGAATAATGAGAAGGAAATAAGAAGATTACTGATGTGCTTACCTAAGATTCTGCGAGAGGACCAACAAATTTGCAAATATCACTTTCAGTTAACGAAGCACTGATGGATGGAGATGATGAAAGCACAGCAGAGAAAAATTGACTATACAAAACTTTTAATTGAATATGCACATTAGTGAGTACCTAATTCATGAATGGCACTGTCAAGAAACATACATCATGCCAGAAGAGCACCCAACTTTGTAAACAGACTGAAGCACACGATGTTCCATGAAAGAGCTGCAATTTTTCGATGTGAGTGAAGTAATCTGCTTCCCCTCGGGTAATCGGCCCGGCCTGCACTTTCCTCCAAGCTCCCAGACGATTTATAAACAATTCTGGATTCGTTTACAACCTGCAGTCTATTTTCAGTTTCCGTTTTGGGTCACTTCCTCGCGGGTGCTCAACTTGGACTCCTTATCTTATCAAAAACTAGAAACGCCGATTCGATATTCGATGACGAAGAAATCGACAGTCGAATATCGATCATCGATATATCTGGAAGAAAGCAAACAGCGCGTAGACGGATCGTAAATTCGCCTTCAATAAGCTGTGCGGCAATTGTCACTTCAGAAAAATTGATATTACATACATCAACATTTGAAGGCGTTTCTTGTGGGAAAGATGATGGCTCTGAGGACTGAGGAGGTTAAATAAAGAACTACAACTTTAGGGTACTATAATTATTAAAGTATGTGTCAGCATACTGCATTTTGCAATTTGGAACTAATGTCACATACGTTGTTTTTAAACCAGGCCAGAATTTATAGTTCCAAATTGCAAAATGCAGTCCATTTAGCTGAGACACTCCATCTGCAAAGCTGCGAACGTAGCTATTTTGTGAGAGAAGCAAACAGCGCGGCGGAGCTCAGCTGCTCGTTTATTTAAATTCACCTTCAATAAGCTCTGCGGCAACTTTACTTCCATACATTATTTCGCTGTCAATTTTTTGTGCGGCAAGTGGGAATTGTCATTACAGGGAAATAATTTTACAAATCTCCTCATTTGAAGGCGTTTCTCACAACATAAGGATAATGGCTCTGAGTCTCTAAGAAAGTTATAGCGATCTACAACTTCAAAACAATTCACTCAAGAATGTTTTGAGAATCAGCATGTTCCACTAAAATTTTCAATCTCCCAAAATTTTTTATGAAAGCTGTGAATGTCGCTACGCTATGTCAGAGAGAAAACAGGAGCCTCTTGCAGTTTGAATTCGCCTTCAATTAGCTCTGTCACAAATTTACTTGCACATATGTAATTTTGAAGGCGTTTTTTATAATATATGGCTCTGAGGAAGTTAGCAGAGCGAACTTCAGCTTTTTTCAGCGATTTAATTTTTTGAGTTTTGAGTTTTATCCTATTGCGGCTGCGTGCTGTACGCCCTTGAACTCTCTAAATAGGCATCATTTTTTAAACACAATAACATTCAGTCGCATTCTAGGACACCTACGTGCATCTTGTGTAAAGACTAAAGCCTCAACTATGATGATGGAAAACTATCAGTCAAAAAAAGAACGTCTAATATCAGCGTTATGAATACTTGAATTGAGAGCGGCAATTGATTTATTGAAGTATGAAAAAAAGTTATCGGTTCATTGCGATCTGACAGGAACCAGCGTAACTGATAAGGAAGGTAGTGAAATAATCAAAATATTTCTTTTTCTTAAACGATTTGCAATCTTTCATGGCACTAGTTCAAATCCGAGAAGGTTGCTCAAGCAATGGAATACGTCTCTCCCCTCCTCCCCTCCTCAAACTACCTTCATCGGTCATCCCCGCGTCCTTGCTCACCCCACTCTGCGATTGCGACGTGAAAATATACCTGCTTGGAGTCATAGGGTGTTTCAAAAGCATCACACTCGGTGTATTTCCATGACGAGGTCACCTTTTCATGGGCAAATTGAAGTAACTTTTTAAATAAGTCGTCTTTATCTTTCTTTTTTGCACCTTTTCCGATTAAAATAAATATTCTTTGGCGATTTGCTGCACTTATCAATGTTGAATCGTGAAGTTGAAGCTTCAAAGGCATCCTGTTGCGCAAGTCGACGGATAGATTCACGAGCGCACTTTTACGACATCTGTGGTCTAAAAAAAGAAATCCAAATCAGCTGCCTCCAGTGACTGTCAAATTCAAGTTAATCGTTAGATTTGTTTATTTTGATGCTCCCAGGCTCTATTTACAAACAATAATGTTGTCTGCCTTTATCAAATTCATTTAGCATTAATTCTATACAGTTCATCATTGATTTTGTGTGTCTATTTGAGTTGTTCAACCGATTATATAAAGCTTGGCTTCACTACAAGGGAACTTTCTTTGTTCTTCGTAGGAAAGATCTTCCTACTTTTCGTGATTAGGACGCTCTTCAGCTGTGTGTTTTTCTTTTCGTAAAAATTCGGATTTTGCCAATAATTTATCATTCGTGCGGATAGTGCACTAGTGTTCTTGCAGAAACATTTCTCTGTAATGTGTCCATCAATATCCGAGGATTTGCTGAGTTTATCTACCTCTCAGTGCTATGTTCAACACTCCAGAAGAAAAGGCATATTTCTTCATCCGAAAATCATATTCAGGAACAATTTTAGTCCCTCAAGTCGAATAAGTAGTAATAGTTGCTGCAACAATCATCAATATGTGTAAATAGACTCAAGTTGACAGCCGGTTAATTTTTTTAGATCCTTCGCTCTCACTGTGTGTTTCTCATCGCTATTGTAACTGAAGGAATCATCATAGTACAAAATGAAGCTATTAGAAAGCAGCCGATTTGAAGCTCTCAACAGTGCCTTATTAATCAACTGTGGGGACATCAAGATTATTGGAAGGTTTGTATCTTCAGACAGGAGAATAAGCTCTTATTGTCCCAATTTTGGGACTACTAGCTTTTCAACAAGGATTTGACATTTTCTTTTACTCTCTTTGTAGCCGACGAGAAAGAATCTTTGCTTTCTGTTCACGAGGACAAGTCTGCTTGAAACTAGGGTATTTCTGGTAGGATTCCTTACCAGAAGTTGCAAGAAGGAAAGTTCAGTTTAGTTGATGATGAACAGCAAGAAGCTGAATTCCAGCAACGCTGATTGAAGAGATATAACCTTACTTTTTATTAGACGGTTTAAATAATTGACCATTTAACATGAGTTGGATGTTGTTTTACAAGTTATGCATTCTATTTAATTTCTCAATATCTTGAATCAATTAGCCCCTCAAAATTACAGATGAAGAAAGTTCCTAAATGCCGACCGTTTGCCACAAGGCGACATTTTTGTTTCTTTGTTATATTTTTTATTTGTCCAACGGCCAACTGCCCAATTGAACAATAAAATTTCCAATTCCCCACTTTTTCAGAGTATTAAGAAAAAAGTAAGAAATTGCTACTCACGTCCTGTACATTACAAGGGGACAACATCAAGTTTTGAAAAGTATTTTTTGTAAATTCAAAAAAACAGTACTCTCAATGATAATGAAGAAGAAAGTAATGATGAAAAATAAATGACATCTTTGATGGTCAAAATTGCAGTTGATTGAATTTATCAATGACCCATTGCTTCTTGTTTCCATCCAGGATTGAAAGCTACTCCTGCAAGATGGCAGGAAATGACAAGCAGCTGTACAAAAAATTCAATTCCGAGGAAGGTGTGACACCGCATGACCTACAAGCTCTCTCTCCTCCGCAGCATACATACAGTGCCTCTCCTGGTCAGAGTCAGTATAGGTAAGATCTAATGTATACCTAAGTAATTTTCTCCTGTGGACATCATAATTTCAAGTAAACCTCGGAAGTTACGACTTTTAAGTTGACCAAAATGCAGTGAGGTAGTGCTAGTAAGTACAAATTCAAGAACAAAGTTCATCTGTTAGCTAATTCTTAATTTAAACCTCAACGACCCAAATTCACCCAGGTGAATGGCTAAGTATGGGCTCTTCACCGGCAACATTTGAATAGCTGAGAAGATCACTAGAACAGGGTTGCCACATTCAGGGATAGCTGGAAAATGATAGGAAACTTTCATTAAAATTTTAAAATCCCCTATTTGTTGTTTCTTAGAATGTATCTGACGTTTCGAACAACAAATGTTGCAAGATAGAGCTCGGATGTGCAATAATTTTAAATCATCTTGCTTAGCGCCAAACGTCAAGGAATTTTACCAAAATTTATTCCAAGAAATCAGGGGCATTTCAGGGCATTTCATTTTCTCTTTTTTGTGGCAACCCTGTTGGAATTAGGTTGAAAAAGCAGGTACAAAATTTCAATATTTTTTTCCCTCGATTTTCTAAGTTTCTAGAGCTCCTACTAAGATGAAATTCAGAAGAACAGTCATGTGGGTCTAGTATAAAGTCTAATATAAAAGTTCTTTTTAATTTTTTTTTTTTTTTTTTTTTTGCTTAACAATAATCTGTCTATACATAAACTGGCCATCGATTTTATATCACATTTGAAAAAGCCTTTGAATGCAACCATCATCAAATACTAATTTCAAGAGCTCCAAAGGTAACATGTCCAAAAGTGAAAGTAGATAGATAAATTAATGACTTGTTGTTGCAATTTTTAGAGAGAGGTAATTTCATACGAAGTCAAACTCAATGTAGTACCCTCATCCAGAAGGAAAGATTTGCATTAATCTGAAATTTCTACTATTGTTCACAGCCGCAGTGTTTCTGGAGATGAAGAAGGACCTCTCTGCGATACAATCAGTCGTAAAACACTGTTCTATTTGATCGCAACTCTGAACTCAGCATTCCAACCTGATTATGACTTTTCTCATGCCAAGAGTCATGAATTCAGCAAAGAGCCCAGTATTCAGGTATGCCTCCAAAATACCCTGATTAGCCTTTCAAGATACTAAAATCTATTTGATTTTATGTAGGCAGAGCATTTTAGCAAAAATAACTATTCAAAGTATCAATCTTCCAAAAGCTAGGCAGAACTCGACGCTTGTGGTTTAAAATCTTCTTACTGTATTCTCAATCAGTAATTATTTTCTTGTTACTTTCTTGGTTTATGTCGAGCACTTGTCACTGAGAGGAAATTATTGAAAAGCCGCTTCATTTGTGATCTTTTGACTGCTAATAAAAATTTAGTTTTGAATTTGTAATGTTGTAGAGTGTTCAAATAAATTAAAATACAAAATTCTTTGTACTTTCTTGAAAATACTTTCCTAGATGAAAATCTGCATCTATTTGCATGGAAACAAAGCATGCACCATGCTCGCTAACTCTGGTGAAAAATATTCCCTTTTAAGAAGCTGGCACCTTTATGTCTCAGTTGACATAGTGTATGATGTTACAAGGTTAATCATACTTAACCCTTGCCCAGCAAGTTGTATGAAAAGTAAAAAACAGAACTATTTACTCAGAAGCTTTATCTTCTGAACTTGAAAGTTTATTAGTAATGATTTTTCATGCTTCCAAAGTAGCATTAAAAAACGACATTTTCACCGAAAAATTTCTACAGATGTAAGTGCAGTGGTAAGGAATGTAATGCCTCTCGTCTTACAAAGATTTTTGAGATTTTATAAAGGGCTCAAATCAATCGATACAGGTAAAAACTTCATCTAGCTTTGTGTAAGAGTAAGACTCACCGTGCTCCAAGAAATAACATAATTTTTTCTGGAATTTTTCTAGTGGGTTATGAACGCAATTGATAGCAATCTGAGTACAACAGCAGGTGAACAATATCGAACAATGCGGTCGCACTTATGGGCAGCCATTGAAGACGAGATCTCAATGAACGAATGTGATATTTACAGGTTTGTATTTTCCTTTTCATTCGTTTCTAATTTTCTGTGGGTAAAAAACTTAAAACCTGAAAGGGGCAGCAACATTCAACAAAGTAGACAAATTATTACTTCTTTTTGTAAGAAATCAGGAGTCATGTTTTCACTTCAGACTCTCCATAGCCTTTGTATCCAAATAGTCATGTGTAATTTGGATTCAAATAGTTTTAAGCCAAGATGAAATGTTTGGAACATGAAAATATTCATTATAATTGGTGTTTAACATTGAGTCTTATGAAGGAATAAAATTTCAAACCTCCTTTTCTTTGTCCGAACTTGACGTGACTTGGTGTATTTCTGTTAAACTGGGTCCATCTGTGCACTGCCATGCTAAGGAAGAACGCTGTATGAACCTTCATCATTTGCCAAATTTCCTTTCATTTAATATGAAGTTTCAGAAAAACTCGTGAATATTTTCATTTTAATTTTTCAGAGGAATTTCTTTGTAATTAGATCTAAATTTTCTGAAAAATCCAATTAAAATATTCATAACACTCCTCAAAAATGAACATTTCTTCGGAGGAAATGTGGCAACTCTCAAATGTTCATACAGCGTTTTTCTTTGGCATGGCAGTGCACATAAACACACAAAATCTGTACTATCTGCACAAAGTTTCTATGCTGTATTCTACACTCATTTATTTTTATCGATTTTAATTTATTTTTTTATTTTTTTCTTTGTCCAGTTACAATCCTGATCTCACATCAGATCCTTTTAGCGAGGATGGTTGTCTGTGGTCTTTCAACTACTTCTTCTACAACAAGAAGTTAAAACGAATCGTTTTCTTCACCTGTCGTGCTATCAAGTAAGTGCCTCATTTCAAGCAGCATACCTGTTACAGTGAAATTTTTTTGTCTCTGATAATTTTGTCAGTGTGATTTAAATCAAATGAGATGTCCCAAAAGGTTAGATAACGTTCTGAAATTCAGATGTGCAGAAAGTTCCAAGCCTTCCCCTAAATGCTATCAACCCTCCCCCATTTTCGATCAAAATTCATGATAGCTTCTACTTGAAGACAAAAAAAGAAGAAAAATCGGCCTTTTTCACTGCTGAAATGCTGTAGTTTGCACCAGGCTCCCTTATCTTTTTACATTTATGCGGGGTTTCCCTAATTTTATACAATGGGCACTTGACCATATTGGTTTGCTAAAATTAGGTTTTGGGAAGTATTGGCCCCACTGACAGGTTTGAGAGCAGAACCAATTGAGGCTTTGTCTAGGTTTCTCACTTTGTGCATAGATTGTATCGAAAGCCATGTGATACACATTTTGGCTCGGTACAAAATATTGTATTCAACATAAAATTTATCGCCAGTATTAAATCGATGGCCAAAGTGTAAAACCACCTATCTCCTTTTGCAAAATTGCAGACTTCTTTTCATACTTCATTTTTTCTTTGGAAAACATGTCAGCGTAATTTTTTTAAAACTTCTTTGATTTTTCTTCTCTATTAGCACCTAGCATATTCTGTTTACATTTCAAGCCATGAAGTTGACTTGTTTTTTTCGAAAAAATGATACGGGCATGGAAGTTTTGAAACAGCGCAATAAAGATACGTGGTTTTGCACTTTGCCCATCAAATTGCAATCATTTTTCTGTAGCCAAATCTTGATATCATCATTCCTTCGAATTTTTTTTTATTTATTTAATTTTTCATTTCTCCTGCTCCTAACTCTTTACTTTCATCTCATTGCCCCTCTGACGTAAGGGCGTTTCTCAATTTCCTCTCGAGCCCTGTTTTACATATAAACTCATGCTTTTTGGAGCTCATGCAAAAATTGAGGCATGCCCTTTTGCCAGAGGAGCAATGATCCTTGGGGGTAATTGTCTTTTTTTTGGGCAAAGAAGTCAAAGTATTCTTTAACACTCAATCTAACTGACTTTTACAATTGTGTTACAGTCCGATCTACGCGATTGACTCAGGTATTGGAAGCGATTTTGCTATGGACGAAGACGAAGAAGATACTTACTAATTTTAGTGTAGAAGAGCTAAGTCTTACCTCCTGTCACATCCTCACTCTCAATATCCTCTATCGATCTTATTTTGTTGTGTGTTTTAAATTCTAATTTCTAGGATAATCTCATGGGTACACTCTCTATGTAAGCACCTACCCACAGTCAATAGGAAAGTGCTTCTAGATTTACCCTCCGTATTCAATGATCGTCATTTGCTCCCCCCTCTTCAGCAATTATGTGGTTCTTTTTTGGTAACCTTTAAGCCCTAAAATTTTACCGTGCAATTTCAACGAAAATTTTTAAATATAAAGAGGGAAGATTCAAAAGCGTACGTCTAGCTGGTGGGATTTGAAATTTTGAAGGCCAAAATTTTGAGAATTTCTTATCATGAGTGTTGGGATTATATTTTTTGTAATCCTGTTAGAATAGATGGTTTAGGATGATTTGATACATGAAAAAAAATGGGATGTACAACGTAAGTTCAAGTCAAAATTATATACTCAGCGCTCCTAAAATAAATAAATGAGAAATTTTGTGTTTTAAGGATGTCTATCCTTTTCTTCAGAGAGTATTCAGAATGGAAGGGGCATCCTAAAGTATGACAGTTTCTTTTATTTTTAATTTTTTGAGTTTTTAGTTTATCTTTTTGAATTTTTCTTTTGTTTAATGTTCCGTTCTCTTCAGTTTACTCACTTTCAGCTCATTACTCTGTTACATATTTTTTGGTTATTACCTATTTGATTCCTTCATGATCATTTTGCCAGCCCTTGAAGCAGCTTAATCTTTTTACGTTTTCATGTGCCAAAATGTAGTAAGAAATGTCATGTATTTATCTTGAGTAAACTGCACTAGCTTGACCTATTTCTTTTGAATCTTGCCAAAGAAAATTTATGAAAACTGTTAAACCGTTTATATCTTTTATTTTGATTTTTTTTCGGGCTGAAACATGAAACCAAAGAGTCCCACTAGTTTCAATCCGCAACTCTTATCATGATTAGTTTTAGCTTCTCTTAAAACTAATGTTAATGAAGGGTATTAGTACTTAAGAAAACTGTTACAGCTTCTCAAACATTTTCCAGAATTTACGTCAGTATTTTTATCGCTCCGACTTACGTCATGTTTTTTCAGATTTCAACTCTTTTTGTTTTCACAGCCTGCTTAGTTCACCCATGTTTCCCTATTTTGATGTTGGTTGTATTCTTGAAGTAATCTAAAGTAGTTTTGCTTAACACTGCACAAAAATGATCGACCTTACCCTCGTGCAAAATTTTAACATTCTATTTATCTGTCTGCCTGAGCGTTACTGACTTTTCTAAAAACTTGAGCAATTTTTTCCTTGAATGTGTAGTTTTTCCACCAGAATCTATAAAAAAAACTGTACAATTATTTCCTCTTAATTAAATGTGATGATCACGGATATTTAAATTATGTTTGTGTGTTTGTACGCAGTGTTAGCAGACATTAATTGTTTGGAAAAATCTCTTTTAAAAAAAGTAAGCGATAGATCTGTTTTCAATTTTTGACTTCAGTTATGAGTTAATTGATCAGAGTTTATTTTAAAAATTACATACAATGGCTAGTGAATCTTTTAGCTCATGGTCATGATGTTCGGATTTTAAAGTATATCAGATCTCCAGAAATTTTCTTCGTGAAGCTTTGACAACAGGCAGTCTTTTGTCAAAAAACCTATAACATTCTTCACAGCCACTCTTTTACAAGATTGACCTCATAATGATTTTAACTCAATTTTAGGTTTCGTAGAATTACTGGTTATTTTCTGAGGTTTAAAAATCGTAACCTACCTCCAGGAATATTTATGTGTACTTTTAAACTCTGACCAACCTAAAACCATTTCATTGAAAATCATTAATTTTACCTTTTAGCTCATTCACAACTCGCCGCCCCCAAAAAATCCATTGGCTTTAATGCACTTCAAGATTGCAGCAAAAAGAGTGACGCATCTTCTGTGAATGGAGCGATTTTCCCAATTAACTGTCTCTTATCTGATCAGTATCGCATTTTGTTCAAGTTCAAGTAGGCCCTCCTTCTGTTCATTACTATATTTAAGTCCCTCCTAGTTTCTCCACTAAATCTATCCAGTGAATTCAGAAGAGAACTTTAGTTTTGCAAAATTTTATTCTAATCCCCCCCCCCCCCCNCAAGAGATCCAGTTGGCTTTATTCATCCCTCACATTTTTATTTTATCCACCAAAATTACATTTTCAGTCCACTCATTGGTCATTAAGAGGGTTCTTTACGTTATTTTCATTATAACTCTATCCCTCCTTTCTTTTGTATAAATCGTGCCCTAATATCTAAATTTACAATGCACCACACTTTCTAGATTATTTTATTTATCCTGTAAATAACCAATTTACTTCATTAGAAAAAAATATTATTTACGCTCTTCTCTGCATCTGTCTCATAATTTCGTCAAGTAGTTATAATTTCTAACCTCTATTAATTGATCAAGATTTTTATTTATCCCAGTCTCAGTAGAAAGTTTATCCTTTGTTTTTATTTTTTTAGAATATTTTATTTATTCCTTTTACTCTAGTTCTAAACGAAACGGATATTTTTCCTAAGGGCCGAAGCACCAAAATCTAAGTTTCCGGAAAAACGGGAAAAATAAAACTTGAATTTTGGCGCTTGGGCCCTTATGAAATAAATCAGTTCCATTGTGTCCAGTGATCAGTAGTTAGCTGAATTAAGAGTGCATATGGTCTAGGCTAGTTTACATGTCCCTGTTAGTTTTTCACCTAGTTTTTAACTTCGTTGTGTTGTTCGTTTGCATCACTTACAAATTGATTAGTCATTAGTTAATGACACAGCTCTGCATGTCACAGAATCAACTTTTGCTTATTAAATTCTATAGATTAAAGAAAATCAATCTAAAGGAAACCATGGTATGCCATAGTGTTAGAAATGATGTGGACCATTGTATTTTCAAAGGGCAATATCTCCGTTAATATCTAAACTTGGCGCCTAAATTGATTTCATTGGTTTTTACTAATCTTGAAGATCTAAAAAATGAAAAATTGCAATTCTGTGGCAAGCGCAACTGAATCATTTACAATTCTAATTTGAGCCATCGAGCAAAAAGGAAAGTGTCATTCGAGCAACTGTTTTTGGATCAAACTTACTTGTATCTGCTTTAACTTTCCTGATTCCATTTTCCTAGCTACTATGGTTTTAATATGTTCCATGATCAATTTTGTTCGTTCGTCTTTTTCCTTTGTATAATTATCGAATCTAATAGTATATTAATCGAAAATCAACCATACTCTAGGACTTGAAGGGTTCACCAGATTAAAATTATCAGTATTTTGGGTCTTTGTTGTTGTTTCCCTTCCAATACCTCAACAAAGTGCCAACTGATTGTATTTAATTAAAATGAAATGAATTGTTCTTCACAATTTTTATCCTTGATTAACCGAGATTAAATGGTTTCCAATGAATTTACAATTCTAGTTCCTCCTCTCCGAGTTGCGTCATCCTACGTCTTCTCTCCTTGCTTTCTTGTAGGTCTTCTCTCGTTGTGGTCTGATGTATGTCCTTTTCTCTCATTATTTTTAGTACTTGCATGTTCTTTATCAATTTATATTACCTGTAAGTATTTGTAAAAAAGAAGTTCTATGCTTTGTTTAAAAAATCTAAAATTATCTTTATCACAGTGAGTGTAGTTATTTGTTGTGAATACAACACCGTTTAATAACTTAACATAACTGTAACTCTGTCTTAGTTGTTGGGTAATTAAATATTCTTTTTTTAAAACAGTGCATTTTTATTCACCACAATCCTTAAAAAAAATACACTAAAAAAGTGATGTTTCAGGGTACCTACTAAAATATCATTTTGGATTCTCCAGATATTTTCTTAAAATTAAATTTCTCAATTTTTTGCTGGAAGAAAGCGACACTCCTTTGATTTTGCAAACCAACATGTTTAAAGAATGGAATCAAGTGTTTCACTTTTAAATATGCTTAACTGCATCTAGTTGAAAAATGCTTGATGCACTCGAGATTTCCTGATTTCCGACCGATTTTCCTGATAAGTCAAATTTCCAGATATTTCTCCGTTTTTACTGACGGTAGACACCCTGCGCACATTTACAATTTTTTTAACACCATACATGGTAGTGGACAATGCCCTTGTTAGCCTTGAAACTTGGGCATTTCGAATTCTGTTCAATGTACGGCAAGTTTCTTGCCGCAGACTAATTTAGTGTCCACATCATTCAATCATTCCTATGTTTCCATCAGAGTAATCTTAGTCAAAATTTTTAGTGTTTGATACATCAATTTATAAAAATGTTCCGTAGTAACTTAATTAGTTTGTTTTCTTCTACTATTTTCTTTAAACTGATTGTGAGACACTAAATGCAGGAGGAACAGTGATTCAGAATTTTTGCCACTGATATAGGTCTAAAAAAAGAGTATATGGGTGACTCTCCTGGAATATTTGTTCTAGTACATTATAGAATCATGAAGAAAATTCGATAAAAATTTCAATGAAATGTATGCATTCACTTCCTTTAAGAAGAATGAAATAGTGGCAGAGATTTTGAAACACTGTGACTGAGAAGTGCCCTTCTTACACCCAGTGCCTAAATCGATAGAAAGAGCTATCTTCAGAAATTTAGTAAATCTAACAAACTGCAAACTACTTTCTCAAGGAACTAGAATTAATGGGGGATAGTAGATGAGGTCATTTGAATTGGTTCTGAAAAAATCACAGAGATAGAGAGGAGAGAAATGGCTTGTTGAGGATAATCTTACTCTATAATATAAAATCATAGGAGTAACGCTTATAGCCTGAGGTGCGTGCCGATGAGTGCCTTTGCACATTCTGACCTTCGATTCCGCATAGGAGCGTCGGATCAACAGAGGAACACACGTGTGTCTTTCCAAAGATGCATTGATACTGTATGATACATTTTCAAAACCAAGAACAATTTTAGAATGCCCCTTTCTACGGGCAAACTCTTCAATCATGCCTCCGTTTTCTGTGATTTAGTTAAATTTTCTAATAAAGATTTTGTCAAGTTTTCTAACAAGAGAGAAAGAGGACGAGACTGAGACTTGAATTTCACTTTTTTTTATTAATTATAAAATAACATAAAAATAAAGTTGAAAGTACAAAAATGTTTACTTCTTTTTAGATACACCCACAGTTCTTCCTCTGCGACCGGTTGTCTTGGTGTGTTGACCACGAACACGGAGTCTGGAAAAAAAATTAGATATTGTAAGAATCAATTATGAAGACACGAATACATCATTGAAGCAAAGTCGAAGCCATTATCCGTAATATAATCTGAAAGCAATTATTCTATGGACTTATTTTTGAAAACTTCATTCTAAATGCATTTTAAAATGAGAAGCACTTTTTCGTTTGATCGCATTAAATCGCTGGGAGATGGAGGCATACTTATAGCACGGTAACATCAAAAGATCTCAAATGTATTCAGAGTTTTAGAGATCTCCTTGTGTAGATACTTCTTCACAAAAAAAAGGCAATAATTCAAAAAATTTGGAAAAGTTGTGACTTGTGTCCATAGAGAAATGGGTCGCAGTACCAAAACACTCAAGAGTTAAGCTACAGCGCAACCAAATTATTGAATCCATATCAATACAACAAGACAAGACATAGCTCTATCTAAACTATGAAATACAGTATATTTTGATGCCTCATCGTTCTGCTTTGAACTTTCAATGAGCAGTCAGTCGCTGGTACTTCTGCATGCAGTGGTGTTTTACAATCAGATGAAGCAAAAAATGCCCAAAATTATCAAACCAAACTGAAGTTAGGAAACTTAGAATTTAGCAGTTCAAATAATTGAATCAGTGAGAACAAAAACACAGTAACTCGGAAACATGAAAGTAATCAAGACACATACGAAGCTGCACAGTAGATGAAGAAGTTTGTCCAAGAAAAAGATTTTCGGTGCCGAAATACAAGCACTTAAGGACATTTATGGGGTCCAAGTTAGAAAAGATGCGCTAACTTCAATGACTTTTATAATGACTGATTGTCTTCAATGAAAATTAAGCATTTTCGAGTTACCGAGTTGGTGTGTTTTCGATCTCACTGATTCAATTCAGTTTTAGGGTGCAGCTGCTTCTAAGTTTTGTGTCAATATAACTGGGACACAAGATTTTTTACGAGAAATTCAACTTTCCATGCTCTATTGGCATGAAAACCAAATCTAAAACCCCTAACTAATTCATCTAACCACTTAGGGTGTTTACTTTCCATCAAAAACTGAAACTCTGGTTTTAATACATGAGAAAAATTTGCTACAGCGGATAGCCTCATTTGGAAGGACATCTCCTAAATTTTAGCAATGGAGAATTTTAACACAAACATTTTATTGCGTCATCTTAGATTGCTTAATGAGCTGAGTTTGCAGTATTTTTCATAATTTTTTTCTGACTCGGGAAATTTGAGAAAAATTGATTTAAAGATGAGAAAATGTGACGCCATATGACGTCATCTGGCGGTATTTCCCATTTAAACACAAGTATTTTAGCAGAATCGGTTATTTTGTCATATCTCCTTTGATAATTGCTCAATTTATGAATCAAAGGTATCTTCGTGTTCTGTTCACTCAGTAGATTCCACTTAAACACGAAATTCATCAAATTTCAGACCCCTGCAAATTCTCCATTGAATCAATTGTGCAGGAATGAACCAACTGATAGAATTGACAGGATTTTCTATTATCGATGGGAGATTAGACAACTGTCATAGGGGTGCAAAAACACCCATCTGACAGTCCACAGCAAATTAGAACCATGAACTGGTCATAAAAATGGATGGCCTGTTCTTCCTTTCACTCATGACATAGAAAAGATGGAGCAAGGTACACATTTCGTCGCTCCTTTGACGTAAGGGCATATCTCGATTTCCGCATGAGCTCTTGAAAGCATGGATTTGTAGGTGAATCAGGACTCGTGTGGAAATCGAGATACACCCTTACATCAGAGGAGCGACGATTTGACAATGAAATCAGGTACTTTTCGGCAAGATGAAAATGCCAGAGTACCAATAATGCGACTGGCATTGAAAAAAGTCATGCAGCTCTGATGTGTCAATGTTCTTATTTCTTTCCATCAACCTTGGTTCTAAGTTCGTCTCTCTTTTTCAATTGCATATTGTTATTTAAAACTTCCCCAATAACACTTTTAAGCTTAAGCCTCTTTTAGTGGCCTTGCAGGTTCGAGGAAATAAGCCTATCTGTATAGGATAGGCACACAATTAATGGTGACTCTAAGATCTCCAAAAAAAAAAAAAAAATGGTGCATTGTGCTTTATCTTGGGGGAAATGGATGATGGGTTTCAATATAAATTTTTTTAGTATTCTTACCCCCAGTGATGCCTCATTCCTCTGTGTACACGGATTTTCTTTAGCCTTTCTAAATCGTCACGAAGCTTGGACTCCAGGTTGGATGCAGTGATCTAAAATGCAGAGAGAAGAAAGAAGTTACAGGAAACAAACGAACAAAATACCTTTGAGATTTCAGTGAGTATTCCATTGAATATACCATTTTATGTCACAAGCTCACTGATTTTTTTTTGTTCTTTTTTTTGGGATTCTTTTTACTAATTCAATAGCTCTCTACTTTGTTGTAACTATGGATCGTATTTGATAGGTACATCAAACAGGTGAGATTGTATCAATATCGATTGATTCAACATGTAAACATAGCTTTAAGTCAATTGAGTGATCTAAGGGAACGGATTTCTAGAGATAGTTTTGTATTTGAGAGGAATGGAAAGTAAAATTCATAGGAATTTTCTCATTATTATTAGGTTTTCCTGTTTAAATCGGAAATTTTTTGTTTGAGGTTATGTTCTATTGTTTTGAACCAAACGATACATCCAACCCTTATCGAATACGATCTATTATCATTCTTTTGCTGACTGTTATCTATCTCATGCAGCTTTGCTGTGGCACGTAAAACAGTTATTCCAAAAAATAGTTCCTCCATGCGTAAATCTCAGAGAAATAATAAGACAAAATTAGTCGATACCACTGTTAAGATAAATAATTTTTGGACCAGCCCGAAAAGGTCCGTTGATTAATGATTAATGGATCAACAATGAGACACAGGGGTTTAGAGAGGTGCAGCCTTTAAAATGTTCCCCTTTTCAAAAACAATGACCTGATAATCTTTCGTTGTGCTCATCAGGTGTTTTGTTGGACAGGCGTTGTTAGAAAATATTGGTTGATTCAGAGTACATCTAGTGCTGATTATTTGCAACCGTGTGCTAATATCTTGAATCTTTCTGTGAACTGAGATAAAATCATGCAGAACTCAAAACCCTTATAGTTTTTTCCATCTTTTCACTTGCCTACATCTACTCATGACTGAACGTTTTCTGGATTCCCCAACTCGACGTCCATTACATTAACGAGATGGTTCTGCTAACAACTGATAGATTAGTGTTGGATTATAACTGGGCTTTCTTCCAGTTTGAAAATTAAGTATTGCAGAAAAATAGAACTTAATGTTCCTGTTCGGAGGTCTTTTTGCAACTTTAATTTTCGAGCTTATGAGGGTTTCAATACCTGTGAGTATTTTCCGTCAGTGACGTCCTTTTGTCTGTTCAGGAACCAATCAGGGATTTTGTACACTCTGGGATAAGACATGATGGTAATAATTTTCTCAACCTGTAGAGAGTAAAAAAACCAAATTTATGAAAAAACTTGTCTTCAAATGGAGAATAGTCGATTTTAATAAAAGCGAATTATTAATAAGAGCTTATGAAGAGGACAAGTAGGTTAGGTGGTTTACGCATTTCTATCTGCGGAGGGAAGCTGATCACTTACAGAACTTCTGACCCCTCAGACGTCTTGATCTGAAATACTCAAGTGATATGTTACACTTGGTGATACCCAGTTTTCCTTTGCAATTCTTGGTGTACTCTTTGAATCTTCAAAACAGACTAAAAATCAAACTGGATCAAAGAATTCAACTACTTAAAAATTGACAAGACGAATCCAGAGGATCTATACCCGATCTGTAAAAATCTGCAGGAGAAGTTTCTGGGTTTAAGTATATTAAAGATTTAAAAAAATTGATGTCAAACAAACAGAGAAATTTGGAATCCATCAATCTGATTGCTCCATTTACTATTGGTATCAGAATGAGGGTGCACTCATCAACTCCAACACACTAAAACATCTGTTTCTTTTATCTAACTAATTGAGAGGATACTTGTCATTTCACAATGAAATTTTTTTCAGAAAAATTTGAGCACACAGTTTTGTCATTTACTTACTTCTTCGTCAGTGCACTCTCCAGCCCTTTTGTCCAAATCGATATCTGCCTTTTTCAAGACTAAATTTGAAAATCGTCGACCTACTCCTTTGATGGCCGTTAGGGCAAACATGATCTTGATTTTACCTTCGATGTTAGTTGACATAACACGAAGAATGTGCTGGAATTTGTCTGGAATAACGAGCGACTGAAACAGAAAGAAGAAAAGAGGGTCACATAAACATACAGTGCTTAAGACTCCTGTGATATGATGTTCAGAACAATGGAATGGCTCCTGCCGCTAACATGAGAGGCCAGTATTCGCTGAAATTCAAGTTGATATTCATTGATGACTGACTAGTCCCCAAAAGTTACTTTCATGTATAAATACTTTCTATGAGGAGTTCACCATTCTGACATCTTAGTAATTAACACGACACCAGTGCCTGACTCGTATAGGAACATTTCAGCGGTGTAAGTTGGCAATTACATTTCAGTTTACGACGTCGCAGACTTCCTGTCATCCCTCATTTTTAAAACAGAACACTACTCAACAGCAATTCTGTAAAACTGCTGCGATTTTTCTTCTCTGTGCGAAGAAAATTCTGTAAAAACTTCAAGGAATGATGTCAATCTGTTCCCCTTCAAAAAAAAAATAACATAGAGGCGGGGGTTTTAAGACATAGCAAACGAGATTGCGACACGCTGTTGATTTCAAATTCAATGGTGAGTGAAAAAACCATTCAGATTCCTTTTTCATAACATGTACTATTTCCTCTATACTAGATGATTATAATAGATTTAGCAGCATCACGTCTAACCAGTAAGTACAAAGTCTACCCTGTAGTAGGGCACACATGCACTGATAGAGGAGTGGGAACATAATCCAGTTTGGCGAGAGCCATGAAATAGTGCAATACCCCTTCTTCCCAGTCCCGCCCACCCAAAGGTGTCAGTCTCAAGGTTTCTGCTGATGGCTTGAATTTCAGCGCATTTTCTATTATCTGGACAACTACTGAGGAAAAGCAATTCATTGTAGCACTTGCACTTTAAACTGAATTTTGAGGGGTGCTGACTAATGGAAGTCTGACACAAGTAGGGGTCGAGAAAATCGAACATTATCTGGTGCCCTCAAGAAGCGGATTGGATAGTACTTGCTGAGGGTAGAATTCTGAACTTCTGGGAGGCGATAAAAGATTATAGATTTGATAACTGCAAAGATACGCCGCTGTTATACCATCCATTCTAAGATGAGTCCACCAAGCTGGCACAAGATGAGTGGTCTTGGGATATGATCATCAAAGAAAGGGACGCTGTCGGTCACTATGGCAAATTAACCAGGTATGAGCTATCGATTGGAGTATAAAATTGGTTTAATTGAAAGGGTGCGGTGAATGCAATCCACAAGGCGTACCATCCTGATCTTCGACCAGATGACCCGAACAGGAAGAGGTTAGGTTGGGTACTTCAGTGATCGTTGCAAAGAGGAGGCTAGCTTTAAATTGCAAACAGATCGACTTTTACAAAGTGGCCCAATATGTTAAACAAACAAAATGAATGCTGGCATTTCTACGAAAAGCTTCAAGTATCGCGGCACGTGGCATTAGAAAACGGAGACGGCCTGAAAGCTCATGCTGTCATGGTGCCACCGAGTGATTCTTACGAGCAAAATATGGGAATCTTTGAGGAATAACAAAGGAAATAGTATGATCAGGAGAATGATAAGTAAGATAAAAATGCAAAAAAATACATACCATGATTAAAACTTAAATTAAAAACTAAATTCGAAGTGAAACTTTACAACTATACGGCAATCGCGTGAGCAGGCGACGGGAAAGAAAACAATGGCGGCAAGTGGTGCAAAATCGTCCAGCCTGCTCCGTGAAAGATACTGTTTACTTCCAGAAATGCTTGTACAAACTGGTAACCTTGTACATAGGCGGGGGTGATCAACGATTCCAACGCAAAACGCCACCAACCATCGTGAAGCACCAATAAGAAGCGCGGAAAACAGCGCCAGAAGTCTAGCGCGAAATTTAAATAAGCGCGTCCGCAAAGAAAGTCCGCACGGACCTCCTTTCAAAGACAACCTTATAAAATGGTTCTTGTCGATCTATGTAAAAGTAGTGAGTGTCAATTTTAATTTTTCCGAGAGTGTTTTCCATCAATATATTTGTGACATTGAGCTCCGTGTTTTCTCTCCATCGATTCATTATTATGAAATTAACCATTGACCTATCCGTGCTGCAAAACAATATTCATCTGAGAACGATTCAAGTAAGAAAGTATACTTAGAATCAGAGTATTCCCAAAGTCAGGCGATATGACAAATAGTGAGAAAAATTATATTCTTTCAGGGTCAAATTATTCCCTCGTTTTATGAAACTCAAGAATGATCAATTACCCGCATTACTTCATTGCCGCCAGGGCTTTCATTTAAAAGGCTTTCATTTGATTTTAACCATTGGCCGGGCAACTGGGTGCCAACAAAGCGATGCGGTCCGACTTTTTTGCCTGAAAGTCAATATTTTGAAATAATTGATTTAAAATCGACATCTCTACTCAGCACTGCAGTTATTTGAACTACGTCCTATCTAGGGCAGTATCTGGTAAAAAGCACTCAGCACTCTTTGAAACTCTTTAGAAACTGTAACTTTACGGAAAGCAAAACCTTTTCCCACTGTTTTGCAAAATAAAATTTACTGCTACCAAAAACCTTGAAATTCTGAAAAACTTTGCGTTGATTATTAACCGAGACATCGTGCTAAGAAAAATTTGGTTTATGGCGTCATCCTCCGCGGTAGTGACACCTTTGATTTCTACCACCTTGCATCAATCAATCAGGGAAACACACATCATTTGCTCTGGTTACTTAACGTTCGTAACTCGGATGAAAGTAAGGCGGAAGGAACCAAAGATGTCACTATACCGCGGTGGATGACGCCATAAACCGAATTATTCAAAGTTCAATACCTCGGTTAATAATCAATGCAGAGAGATGCTGTTTGGACGGATCTTATTATTTATAGCTAATCTATGAGAATCAAGCATCAAAACACGATTCTGTGACCAGTGCGACTTACCCACCGTAAGATTTTCGGAAGAGTTTTTTGGTCACTTTTTTACTTTTTAGGTAGTACCGCTCTCTTAGATAGGTACTGCTAAGAAATAGCGGAGAAGGTGTTCTTTACAAGGAAATTTTCAATTTTTATGAGAGTTTTATTATTAGAATGTAGACATTTTTTCAATTTTGCGCGCCACGCCACTGTACCCTATGCGGCGCTTTATGAAATCTTCGGGCCCGTTTTACTACAAGAACTGTAAAATTTCGAATCCGTTTTTGTTCGTTCGATGTTTCTTACTCATACTTATTTTTTCCTGTTTAAGGAAAACATGCGAATAGACCTGAATGAAACATTAAAAGATATTTTTCGTTATATCTAGGAAATATCACGGTAGATTTTAAAGTTCATTTTGGTTTATGCTCATTTGATGGGCAGCGAAAAACTTGCAACGTCGCAAATTGAGGTTGAATGTTTTTTTACCTCACCGTCGCGTCGGTGATGAGGAAATGTGCAACTGCGCACGCGCAAGAGTGTAATAATAACAGCGGCAATCGCGATCTTCCGCCACCAAATCGAAGCGATACTGCGGAAGGCGCTCTGAGCAACTATTCCACCAAGGAAGTATTGCACAGTATCAGGCGGAAATGAAGGCGCACTCACGTTTATAAATTGACTGGTATCGTTTACCGTTGGGCGCTGTGTAGAGTCCTACTGATCGTACGATATGCATATTATTATGGGGCTACTGTTCGGTCGATTTTTATAAAACTTGGTACCAGGTAGTGTTTTTTGGTGGGAAACTTGAATTTCAACTCTTTTGCGTCCTAAACGCAACCACGTTAGCATGCAGAAGACAGCACTTACCTACGCTACGACTGTCTTGCCTGCAAATATCTAGCCTAACATGAAAATTAATGAAACCCTTTTTATAGGTATAACTGAATAAAATCGGTCGATTTTTAATCATTCAAACGGAGAATTGGTTGCGGACAGAGGACGGACTTTTTTTTTTTTTTTTTTTCAATAAAATTTTTGGCTAAGATGCTATGTGAGCACATTTTCTCAAAACTCAATTTTTGCACTTGCGGCTCTCTTTGCTATCAAGGCGGAGTTGCGCTTGTTTGATGCCGAAACATCCCTGCCGTGACAGCAGTAAGTGTCAAATTTTCGAAATCGAGTTTCCTCCAAAACTCGTCTGAACTCTATTAGATGAAAGCACTGAAGCAGTTAAAACAGCAAAATTCGTCTCAATAGAATGAAAACGATACATATCAACGGTATAAGTCGGCAATCACATAACTCGGTTTGCGACGTCCCAGACTTCCTGTCATACTTTATTTTTTAAACGGAAAACTACTCAACGGCAATTCTTTAAAACTGCCGTGATTTTTTCTCCCTGTGCGAAGAAAAGTCTGCAGAAACTTCAAGGCATGATGCAAATTTGTTCTCCTTTAAAAAAATATCACAGAGATTTTCAGACACCGCAAACGAGTTATGTGATTGCCGACTTACACCGTTGATATGAGAACGCCATAAATGAGCAAAAAATGACGTTTTTTCAGGCAAGACAGCAGTAAGTGACAATATTCCTCCAGAGAACCAACGAAAACAGTGCTTTTAAGTTAAGTGCCGCCCTCTTCGGCCAATTTCTAACCTGAAAATGTGTTTGTTGGGTGTCCAAAACGCCACCACGAAAGCATGCAGAAGATATCACTAACGGCTTTCTTGCCTAATAAAAACCTAGTATGCAAATGAAAAATACCTTTTTTATGTAACTGAAATAAAATCAGTCGATTTTTAATCATCCAAACTATTTTTATGAGTCTTCCGGACGATTTGTAGCAATTTTACAAAGAGCGGATAGGCTTTTTTCGGTAAAATTTTCCGGTCAGAAGCTTCTGAGCTCTTTTTTTCAAAACTTCATTTTTGCATACTGCTCTCTTCGTTTTATCACGGCAGATCCGTAAAACAGTCTCGAGGCAGTGGTACCAAAACAGTGTTCGAAACTCACCTTCGAGTTTCAGGAGCCATCAGTGGCGTGGCGTGAATGATCGATTATCGATATCTCGCCATTTGAAGCTATGGTAAAGAATCGATTACTAAGGTGTTCGCTGCGAACACCCTGGTAATCGATCTTTTTTCATAGGTTTGAGTGGCGTATCAATCGATATATCGCAGAGCACGCCACGCCACTGGGAGCCATGTGGCCGCATCCAGCTCGATTTTTGGGGGCCATTGAAGATTTTTTAGGGGCCAAATTCACATTTTGCCGATATATCACAGCACATTTAGTGAAAAGTTAGACGCAATATGTTTTAGTTACAGAACTAGTAGCTATAACTTGCGGGAAATTTCGAAGAATCACCATACAGAAAAATTAGGGGTTTTTCATTGTTTTTGGGGGGGGGGGGGGGGGTTAATAGAGGTCACTTTGGCGCAGACCCTTCATTTTTTAGGCGCCTATGAGTAGGTATCGAACACTGTACCAAAATATCAATTTGGAGTTTTTGGGCGCTTACGTCCCTTTTCCAGTGGACGATCAAATTTACGGATTCGAGCATCGTCCTTGTCCTTGCGGTCGTCTGATCGAGCTGTCTCATCTTCCCCCGCTCCGGCGCAGACTAGGAAGGCGATAACAGCTAATCACCAGTCTGCTACGCACCTGACGAGGCGATAGACAATCAGCCCGCTCTAGACAATCAGTTCCCTTTAGACAACCAGTTCACTCTCGACAACCAGTTTGCTCTCCCGCGCGCGAATTTTGTGCTTTACCGAACGTCGACTTCACACGTAACCCGCTTTTTTTCTCTAAAACTTCGTGTTCGGTGAGTTTTTCGCAAGCCTCTCCGCGAATATTTCGTCCGAGACTCTATCGATAGATCGAAGCTAGAATTTTCGCGATCGATTATTTTTTTTTTTTTGTAGAATTTTTTGCGATGACTGTCGGTTCTTATGGTGCGATTTTCTGAGGACGCGCCGTGTTTTATCTCGAGATGTTGGATAAGCTAAAACAATGGGTAAATAATCACTTTGATTTATATATTGGAGACGTTTCATTTTTTTTAGGTTGGTTTTCAGCAAACGTAAAGACGTGAGCATCAACTGAAAAGTCTAGCGAACTTGATTGTTTTTAAACACACTCTTTGCGATAGAGAATTGGTTATTACCATTTTTTTTTAAAAAAAAAAAGCGGGACATTTCTGGCACACTACCCCTCGAACATTAGCTCCTGCTTTAACATTCGGAGCAGTTTTTAACACGTCGAAGAATCCTGTTCGTAAGAGTGCTAACGGCTGTACTTTTACAGGATTTTCAAAATACATTTTTTGGGAATTCAGGAGCTGAAATGTGTCATCGGATGTAAGATTTTTTAGTTTTTTTTTTAAAAAAGATTTAAAGTTTTTACAGGTTTTTATCCTGTTTGGAAACTGCAACCCTGTATGGAGGCTGTAAGAAAGAAAACAATAAAATTAGGGGAAGTAATTTAGGGCTCGTCTAGGGATGGAATGAAGGTTTAGGTGGCTTGTTACTACCGAGTGGACATATTCTAGACGCACACCGGGGTAAGCTTGGAGGGTGATTTTTAAGCTTTCGATGAGAAATAAAAACGAATATTGAAATCTTAGCTGGCATTTTCGCAAAATCTAGCGAGTAGGCGATGAAGTGTATGCTAAACGTCACTAATTACGGATGCTAGGACTTAGTGAGTTTTTGGACCACTGCTCTCTTTTTGGGCCGTGGTATATTGATTTATTTTGCGAGGAAAGCTCCGTACTTTTGATGGATGCCTGCCATTCCTAATATATTAGAGCGCCCTCAGTTTTGTATGATACTGTGCAATACCTCTGATTTGAAATAGTTGCTTCAAGCGCCGTGGCACGCTGCGGTGCGGCAGGCGGGCAGCCAGCGCGAAACGCGCATTGGCGCCTACAAACCTAACAGGGATACTTCACGCGTTGCGCAATGCGTGAAGTATCCCTGTTAGGTTTGTAGGCGCCAGTGCGTCGCCGCTCCGCTTTGTGTTAGGCTCTAATATTTAATCTGGCGGAGTCAGCGTTATTCAACTCATGATTTTGAAATGTTTGCACATCCTGTATGGATTATTCTCGTTTTAATTGATGAAAAAAAATATGTATTAAAGGAAAATATAACGTGTGTTTTGTAAATATTAAGGTGGTTCCGTATCAAACTTAATGATTTCCAAAGCACACGAATTTTTACAAAATTTCTTATAGCCTTTTATAATCGATGGCGAAAAAGCAACAGCCAGGCGACAAAGTGTGAAGCCCGGCGATAGGAACTGTAGCCCGGCTGCATACTTTTTTATCGCTTCGTATAGCCCGGCCGTATGATTTTCTCCGCATTCTACAGCCAGCTATATGATTTTCTGCAGCCTTCTTTAGCAGGCTATAAGAATTCCCATGGTATTTTGAAACGCAGCATCTTATCGCCAATTTTTACCAGGGGGAGAAGATCTAAGTAATCAAAAAGAGCATGTCTGGCAATGTCTGGCATGCTACATGTAATTTCGCGTACCTACTATTTGCTACTGAATCCAGAGATGAATAACTTAGTTTTTTTCCTACACTCAATGGATCCACTGGCGAATCCAAAAAATTGGCAACATTGTTTTTTCTCCATTTAAACCCACGGAAATGTCATCGATTCTCGAAGGGGCCCGATGCTCCGACAAGGATCGATTATTTAAAATAGGTTTAAATGGATGAAATACTGTGTTGCCAAATTTCTGGATCCGCCCCTGAATGGATCACTTTTTCGGAAATTCGATTCTTTGCATCATAATTGGACCAGGTTGTCGTAAAAAACGCTCAACGGGTATGAGCAATTTTTTTCCTATAAACAGTGAATTTTTCCAGCATCTTAAATTTGTGAAATACGTATGTAAACCTGCTCACAGGCAGCGAGTCTGTCTAATTATGCAGTGAGAGTAGGTGAGTAAATATTGCATTGACACGTGCGAGGATACACATACTCATAGATCGAACAACGAGCACATGAGCTTGCTTCCCGGTTAAAGGTCGAAGGTCCCTGGTCCATATGCAGCAGAGATAGATTGATTAATATCGGTTGTCTACTTCAACGCTCCTTATACGTCGAGCCACGGGTCATGCCCAAAAATAAGTAAGACACACTTTTCACCAAATCTTACAGTCAGTAGAATATTCGAGGAGCCGAAAGGCAATAATGATTTTAAGATAAAGAGGTGAGAATAACACAACCAGGATCTGAGAGGCATACTGCTGCATCATTTGGTGCAGAGAACACTAGAATTTTACTGAAGAAAACATTATTTTAGAGGTAATTGGGACCGAGTTTATCAGAAAAGAACCAACCTACATTTTCGAAAAAATTGAGTTAAGACTGTTTTTGAGTTACACTAGCCGCAAGTTTTCTCCTGCCAAAAACTGAAAGTTTGAAAACAGAAATTTTTTTGTAAAAAGAGGTGTTAAAGTTTATTTTTACATTGAGCCTTATGGAGGAACAAAACTTCAAACCTATATGCCTCAGTTTCAACTCAATGTGGGTTAGCTCCTCTCTGATGAACTCGGCCCATTCAAGCTTTGAGAACGAGGAACTGGGAAACGCTGTCAAAGTTTGCCGGCGAAATTGCCAGCTTGGGAAACGATTCATTTCAAACGCTTAAGACATTATTAAAATGGAAAATGTGGCATTCGAATGATTGCACATTGAGTAAGCTGGTTTTGTTTGGTATACATAATTACATAACCGAAGCATTTGCCCTGCTCAACCGAACACTATTCGGATGAGATACGGTTCAGTTGCGTGTATCGAACAATACTTACTAGGATCCAAGTTACCCGTGAAGTGACTCTAATTTCTTCTGAAATTTTTCTTTCAAAGTAATTTCTGAGGAACTCTTGGCTCACACGTTAATAAAATCCGAAATTTTCGCGTATCTAAATTTTTAGAAATTTTTTAAAAATGTTAAAACATTTTAAAAAAGTTTTTCAATGATATTTTTAGGAAATTTCAAAAAAATTCAAGGAAACTTAACTTTCGATTTGCAATAAGAAACTATTTCTGGATCATTCATTACAGCACCAATCAGTAAACTATAGTGGCACATTTTCAGTGGCGTGGCGTGCTTTGCGATAGATCGATTGATCTACCAATTAAACCTATGAAAAAGGATCGATAAACAGGGTGTTCGCGACGAATACCTTGATAATCGATTCTTTACCATAGTTTCATGTGGAGAAATATCGATAATCGATTATTCACGCCTCATCGCCACTAACACGAGTCACGGAGCCGGCAACACGATGAAAAAACTGCAGAAATGCGTGCTTATCTCACTTCGCGATGTTTAAACTTCCCCTTCGTGCTCTATTATACCAACACAGAAAACTACTAAGCGTAATTTCTTGAAAATCTCGGCAATTTTATTTTTACTCCATGAAGAATATTCAGAGAAAATTTCAAACCGTGGTATTGGTTTGGTCTCTGTTAAAAAATAAAATAGGAGCGGAGATTTTGTAACACCGCAACCGAAATGCGCATTCTTGCAGTTTCACCGTCGGATACTGTGGTGTGCTAAGGAAGAACATCGCACGAACCTTCAGGCGTTCTCGTATTTCCTTCAATATAAAACGAATTTAACTGTGAGAAATTATTGAGATGTAATTAAAATGAATTTAATTTAATTTTTAATGTGAAAGTTAATTGAAATAAGGAAACTGTGAATAGTTTCCTTCAAATTTGCAGACAATTTTGTTCGCAATTTGGTCAAAATTATCTGAAAATTTCAAAGAAAAAGATGCATGATTGCGAACATCTTTCTTCAAAATTTTTAGATAATTTTGTTCGCAATTCAATCTGAAAAATCTGAAAATTTCAAGAAGAAATATAACTAACTTTCCTCAAAAATACATGTTTTATCCGGGGAAATTTGGCGACCCTGGAATGTTTCATACAGCGTTTTTCTTTAGCACGACAGAATAGTACTGCCGCGAGCTAAGGAAGAACGCCGTATGAACCTTCAGGCGTTGCCAAATTTCCATTGGTAAATCACGACTTTTCGGAAAAGTTTGTTAATATTTCTCTTCCAATTTTTCAGACGATTTTGTTCTTAATTTTATCTAAAACATCTAAAAGTATCAATGAAAAATACGCATAACTTAATTCCTTAAAAATACACGTTTTATCCGGGGAAATTTGGCAACTCTCGAATGTTCATACGGCGTTCTTCCTTAGCACGGCAGAGGAGTCCCTAATTGCAAAATTTAGTTGATGTGAGGAAAATTTCTTGAAATTTACAAGTGATTTGACGATAAGATTTGATGAAATTTTGCATCCCTGTCAAGTCTGCGCAATAATGCGATCGGCCCAGCGGTGGATTCCGCGATTCGTAGGTGTTAATTTCTGCATTCATTGCGAGCAATCTGGCCCCGGACAATGCGACAGGTTCCAATATTCCGCTGACAGACGACCGGGGAGCGCCTCTTGCGCAAAGCGACGCGACAATGACGAAATTTTTCAGCACATACGTGCCTGGGCGTGCATCATAGGCGCCCTTTTTGTTTCCCGGCCGTCATGGCCGAATCCGTAATTTTTTCACGCCTCCCGTTCCTGCCGCCTCACCGAAATTTTACCGGAACGCACTATTTATGAAACGCGGTTGAACTGTACAAGGAGAAAAAAATTGCACGGAGTTGAAAACAAATTTGCTGTGCTAAGGAAAAACGTCGCATAAACTTTCAGACGTTGCCAAAGATACACATTTTAAGAGCAACCCGAGACAATGATAACAGTGGAAAATACAAGGGGGGAAAATGGGAAACAAGGCTGAAATACACAATTAATAAAAACCGAGACGTTTCTACTCAAAACTGAGTCATTTCCAGTCGGAAATACGATAAAAATTTTAAAAAAGACGATAAAAACCTGAGCCCTACATGGCGGTGGCCGGGATCTGAGAAAAAGACGAAGACGTTGCCAAATTTCCTTTGATTAAACACAAATTTCCTGGCGATAA